TAAGGAGTAATATACGTAGTGTAGAGAAAGTTACGTAATACGGCACCAAAAACGGCGAATTTCCGACAGAGAAACTCGAATTGTGCCGCCCTGATACAGAAAAGTGGATAAATATTTTTTTCTAAAATGTAGTAAATGACTCCCTCTTAACGCGTTATGTTATCAGATATCAGAAATGTGAGTCATTGATACCGGAAAAGTGTCGTTTTTTTTCAAAAGTTCGTCCCTTCATCTGTGAACACAAGCGCCTAAATCATACCTACAATTTTTTTTCCAAAATGGAGATTCCCCAGTCGATTTGTCTCGAATCAACGCTTTGCGATTATGAAAAACATTCTTTAAAATTTGGGGATACTTTACAGAAAGACCCTGGAACATTTTCAAAATTTTCTCAAAAATGGCTTCATGTACAGTGCCCTCAAAAATTAATTTTTTTTTTTTCGAAATCTCAGTGCTTGCACTCACGACAGAAGCTTATTCAGTTTGGAATAAATCGTACGCATAGTTTAGGCGCTAGTGTTGTTCACATGCACCAGACGGGCAGAAACGGACGTTTTGAACAAAACCACTTTTTCGATATAAGGGGAATGTAAAACGTATTTGCGTTGAAATTTCGAAATCGATTTTCCGCAGCATTGCATAACTTTCTCTACACAACGTATAGAGTACGTACTCCGAATATACGTAAGTATACGAGAAAGTAAAAATTATCCACAGTACTTTGGTGTTTTGTAGAAATCGTAAAGTTTGCTGTCCGAAACATAAGTTGTGTTTGGGTTATGCTTGAAAAATAATATGCATTCTGTTTTTTGACTGAAAACTTAAAACCAGGCTTTAGGGACCAACAGTACAATTTATTTAAAGCTTTCTGTACATCTTTAGTGGTACTTAAGTTTTTCCTTCAACTATTTATAGTTAAAATAATGGGAAGAAATTCTGGAAATCAAGAAAACGTGCGCCGATGATCTTCTCTGATCTCTCCGTTATACGTCACATACAGTTTTTACTGTTTTGTGGCTACGTAAATCTAAATAAAAGCTGTGACTGCATGTCTGGCAATGTTACTTCCCCCATGTAAATAGAATAGAATACTGAAAAAAGACGGGATACTTGTAACGGAAATGGCATTGGGATTTCATTGTAATTAATCCAACTGGTAATCCAAAGGATTATTCCAAATATTTCTAAGGTAAGTACGTAAACTAAGACAATATCACATTGATAAGGAATACTATCATTCACTAATTATTTTCACTTGTGGTTGCTATTAATTTCTTGATTATTCGTTATATTTTGTCGTCTATAGGTTTTTGCCAAACAAAGTGAAAGAGGCACGAATATTCATAGTATTAACCTTTTAGATACGGAGTTTTTTTTCCTTCTGCACTCCGTGCGGTACGGACTTTTTTAAATAGACGAATTTGCTTGACCCCAGTGGAGCTTTAACTTCGGCGAGTGATGACAGCTACCCTCCGAGTGTTGAAAGTACTTCTTGATAGAGATTTAAAAGGATTGACTGAGTAAGACAGTATAAACTTTTCCTCTACAAAATTAAGTAATATTATTTTGGGCGATGATACTCTATTTTTTTTTACTTTTATTCATTCTTTACGCCACCCTCCCCGTTGCATTTTATGTTCACAATGCCTTTATATTTAGAATATTTAGCAACACCATAACGCGACTGCGATAGCCCATGAGAAGCGTGGGCCGAGGCGGGTTTGTTTGGACTATGGTGTGTGACGGTAAGTGGTACACAGTGAAGCGTTACATATAAGTTAAAGGGACTAAAGAAGAAGGCGCCCTAACAAAAGAAGCTTTGTTAGGCTGAAGAGATATTTGTATAGCACCAGGACGATGGTTTATACCAAAACAATAAACTATTAAGACATTGCAAATAATACAAAACAATACATAACAAAATATAAAATCAATAAATTTATTGCATTGCTATAAACATGAGTTTACCCCATTGTTACCTCCTACTGTAGAAAAAGTTATTTCTGGCACAATTGAATTATTATCTATGAAATTAATGTAATATATTATGGAACTAATTGGTGGATGTTATACCTATATGCCATGCGACAACAAATTCCTTTATAAAATGAAAACATAAATCATTTATTCTGTTATATGTGATATTATTATTATTATTATTATTATTATTATTATTATTATTATTATTATTATATTCGAATGGCATCTCCAAGCGAAAGTTGACTGGCGATCAATATTCCCCTATGTCTCACGAGCTGCGGCGCACTGTAAAAGCAAGAAATATCAGAGGAGCCCACGGTCGCTCTTCCTGCCGCAAGACCGTACTCCATCAACACATCTCTGCCTGATAGCGTAGGCCGGAGCTCCGATGCGTGAGAATCGTACCACCGCGGCTTGCCATCCGTCAGCAAGCGATAGATAAGAGCCGAAGAGCGCCTCTGGAGGTCATGCCAAAAGTATCCCGTTCGTACGGCTAGGTTGAAATGCTCTGGGAAATCTCTTTCCCATTCGTATTTAAAAGGTTAATAACGCTTGGCAACACCCAAGCTGGCATTAATAAAGTTGGCAACACCCACCACCAACTAAGTAGGCAGTAGCCTCCCCTCTCCTCGCAGCCCGCGCTGCGAGACGTCACGAAAAGTCGCGCCACTAGTACTGGTCCTGACAATCGAAATAAACGCAGCTATACACGAGAGGCGCTTTGTTTGAATTTGTTGGATTGGACATTTTCAAGTTACAGCTGAGGTGCTAAAATGGCTAAATTGCAATATTTTAATATCACGTAACTATTTTCAATAATACTACAAAGCACCTTCTTTCTACTTTCATATTACTCGGTGGCAAAGTAATGTTCTTGGAAGTAGAATAGTTAGATCCTGAAATTTGATTCTATTACGTCACAGCATATGTAGAACTTTTAAGGCCGATTTAAGTTATTTAAATAAATATTCATTTGTTCAACATTAAGAGTTGATTTATTGAAACTATTAGGAAATAAAGTTAATAAAAACAATTTTATGTGCTTTTTCGATAGCATGCAGCGCAAGGCCCCAGCATGTATTTTCCCGGGTCCATACATCCTAGAGTTCAATCCGCATAATTCTTGGCTGTTCGGGAGTCGCCGCATCCCAGGCACAGATGCCTCCTCCAGGGCAGCCAACTACTGACTCCGGCCACGGAAGCCTACGCCTTCGTTCGACTTTTAACCCCAATTATGTCAAATATTTGATTTCATCAAAACTGCCATTCATGAAATTTGACATATCTGGAGAGCTATTTTGTCATGGCATTTTCTGAAGAAATATATTACTCCGTATATACGGATACCTTGAAGTAAAAAGTGTATACTTCGTTCTTCTCCCTAAATACTTTAAACATTGCAGTCGCTGGTTTTAATGTGAAGCTTACTACTCAAATACTGAGCTATGACGCCATCTGTTTAATGGATCGCAATGGTTTATTTTATTATGGTTAAATTTATATGGTTAAAAATCTCGGTCATGCCGGATTTCTTAAGCTAGTAGCAACATAGATAAGTTACTCAAGAAATTCATAGCAGCAAGTTTCACTATTAAATAGAGAAAATCATTTCTGGAATGAAAGTTTAAATTGACAACTCTCGCTCGATTACACTCTCGGTCTCTTATCTTTCTGCATGTATGTCTGTGAATGTAGGTATATATTGAAACGAGGAACGTTTCTGTAGTAAGAAATATTAAAAGTCACAAATTCTAAACTAAAATAAAAGACATTATGATCAGCGCAGTAACGCCGCCGCCGGTCGCCAATGGAAAAATCGAAGGAACCGGCGAGGCGAGCGACGGTTTGGCAGGGCGGAGAGGCATGCGATAGAGTACGGATGGGGTTGTGATGCGCCCAAGGAATTATCCGCAATTTATCAGTACAGTTTGGAGTGAGGATCGAGGGTATAATCAAGTTTGCCAAGGATTGGTCGGTAGTTGGATGATTGGCGGAAGTGAGATTACGCATTGAAACTGAGAGAGACCAATAAAATAGTGAATCGCGTGGCCGGTTGACTAGTGCAGTGATCCCGTACTTGAACATAGTAGTGAACAGTGCCGAACAGACGTTTGTGCGAAGCTGAGGAGGATCACTGAAAGGAGCAGAAGAACCGACGAACATTGATGTCGCGTCGTTCGTTCCTGTATTTGTGAGCCATTTTTCATACCGGCTGGGGCTGACCCCGGCGAAATCATCAGCCGTTACGTTGGGCTGGAGGAACTGGTCGCCGAGGGAGGGCGAATCTCCGACGGGCTCCGGGGTGAACCGAAGCTTGCCGACGTCACCGCTGCCGCCGCCACCGTTGCTACTACGGCCCAGGACACATTAGGAGGGAGCGGATGGCTTTTAAAGGTCGAGGTAGTATATACATTTGAGTTGATCCGCGCGCTTGGTTTTAAGACCAAGGTTGTACTGTTTGTAAATATTATTTGTATGGTGCATTATATGATTAATAAAACGTTTAGATGTGTAAAAGAATTTATAACAATTCTCTTTCATGTTGCGCCAAATCCCAAGAGACCCATTCACGAAAAGGCACCTGTCCCCTTTATAATTTTATTGTCGTGAGAGCACCGCGTCCCAGGTACACTATATATATATATATATATATATATATATATATATATATATATATATA